AGTGGTTCATCAGAGAAATACGCTATCGAATATTAGGCGGATGCCATCATCGGGTATGCCTGTTAACATTTGGCCATGCTTGAAGAGCTTCCAACTATTCTTGGTAGTGCTAAAATTCTTTAACACGTAAGTGACTTTCTTCGGACTTTATTGAATTTAAGGTAGCAATGATAAAGACCATTTGGGTTCGTTAATCGAGTAAAAATATGTTGTAGAGTTATAAGGCGTAGTATTTACTTGATTCGGCTTTTATATTGTCTTGAACTCGTTTATTAAAAGTAAGACATTGATTATCATAATATCTCGCCGATCAATGGCTTTGCATACTGTTTCTTTTGGTGAGAGTAACTTCTAGTTTTAGTCTTTAGTTGATATTTAAAGAGCTAGGCTACACTATATGATGTATGAAACTGCTAAAGCAATCCAACATGTTATGGATGTATATATGTATATGTTTTTTGACAGTATAGCGTCTTGTTTACTGGATTTGTTCAAAAGCAACCCTGTTAAAGAAATCGTTAGGGTACTAGCTAGGTGACCAACCCTAGTATGTGTTCATGCTATTATTTCGGGCCACTTTTTATTACTTTTTAAAAACAGCTGTTTACTTTTCTCCAGTCACAATCTTTAGTTTTAAAAACAAGTGACTAACCATCAGAGACCAATGCTACACTATGTATGAAATTGTTAGGTTGTTCAGCTAATAAACATGATGGTCATTTGTAAATTAAAATTTTGGTGGCACAAAAGGGTAAATCTCTATTTTTGAGCTTTAAAGAACTACTTTGACTTTGAATTATGTCTCTTCAGTTATATATTCAATCTTGTTAGACAATTCATCGGCTCATTATAAGACCAATGTTGTAGCGTAACTTTCAGTTTACTCGATTCGATCAAAAGCAATCCGGCAATAGAAATTGTTAATGTACTAGGTGACCAATCCATGTATGTGTTACTGCTAATATTTCGGTCCATTTTTCATGACTTAAAAAAAAAGTTGTTTACATTTTGATGTCTGTTGCCTTTTTAGTATTTGGTTTTAAAAAATGTTGAATCAGTTTCCAAAGTTTTCTGATTCTAAGTCTTCTCAACTCGTAAATTCGCTACACAAGCTAATTGTTTAAAGTTGCATTCCATTTTGAAGATATCGGAGAAGGTGTCCTACCTATAAAGTTGCCTTCCATTTTGTGCTACTAGTGCAGTACATTATGAGAAATTTATGCTTTTTGATTTGTCCATCTTTTTCAGGATTTGGAACCATTCCGTGATCTGGAAAATTTTCAAGTCATTCGCGAATCACACATCAGGATAGGCGCAACCTTTTCTCTGAGGAATCATCAATTGAAGGTCAATCACTCTGCTTTTTTTGATGATTTCATTGTTGTTGGAATTATATCACTATCCAGTTTTGTGTTTCTTTCCTATTGCACTACAACAGTGTGCTAGAAGATCTTGTTATCTTCCATCGAGATTCCTTTCCTGGAGGTACCATTCTATCTTTCATGTGTATAATTATCCAGAGATATGCATTAAAGCTACCCTAAGTGCCATCATTTGCTTTGGAGGTCAAATGTAGAATTAAGATTAAGCAGACTGTTGGTGTCGGGTTTTCTTTCCAGGGTGTATGTCACTTTCTGTTGCGGTTAGTATCTCTTGCTTTGCAAATTGAATATCTGGTCTTATATTCTCTTATTTAAATATAGGTTGGTACTGAAGACCCCACACTGTTTTTTTCATCTTCCTGGGGAGTTGAGTTCCATGAATGAACTTTAATTTGTTAGCCATAATACTAGATCAAAATTCAGGTCTTTTACTGCTGAAAATTCTGAAGAAGTATCTTTTGGATAACTCTATAAAAACTATTGATGTAACGTCTCAAACACTTCAGATCAGTTTTCTAACTCTTAAACCTATACCGTGCTCTTTCTCCTTTTGTCAACTGTTTGATTGGTTGCTCATTTTGTTTTTTTATACTTCTTACCTGTACAGATTTTATTGTGCCTCTAAATACCATAATGTTTTGCTATGTATCAAATTTGGCGTGATTTTTCTTGATTCTACCGTAGCCTCTAACTTTTGTGCTGTTGCTTCATGTATCGAATCAGCATCCCAGTTGTCAGGAATTCGAGGGGTTGTACTTATTTCAAAGTATTTATTCTGTAATAGCAACCTGTAGACTTTGGTGAATTGTTCCCATGTGAAGGATAAAATCTTGCAGCGTAAAACGTTTGAGTATATAAATCTGGTTCTTTCAAGAACATAATTAATGCCAATTTAATTTCGAGCTTCTTATTATGATATTTATGGATATATATATGAGCAGTGAATCCATTCAAAAATTAATGATGTATATATTGTTAGGGTATCCCAAGTAAAAAGAATGCATTGCTTGTACTATTTTGTTGTTGTAGGTATATGGAAGGGGCATGAACCTTGGCGTTGTTTAAAAGATCTTATTGGATAGCCAAAAGCATTTCAAAGGTAATTATTCCATAATCTTGACAATGTGGAAAAGATCCTAGGAAAGATAATCTCCATGTAGGTCTCTCATGGTCTATATTTTTTTTATGAAACTCGTTCCTCATGCTAGATGTGATAATGTGTATTCATTGTCAAGTTTCAGAACGTAAGTGCTTCTCTAAAAGTAATTGAAAGCTGAAGTTTATGTTACTGAATGAAGGCTATCGTTTATACCAATATTGACCATCTAATTCATTTAGAACAATCATGCAACGTTGTTCTGATTGATTTTCAGACTATAAATGCCAGAGATATTTGGAGAATCTATTAAGGTATCTAAATACCGCCATTATATTCTGCACATGACATGGACATGTTGGTTGTAAAGTTACTCTGTTCATGTTCCATCCCTATATTTTAAATTACTCAAGAACGGTTATTCTGGGTGCTGTCAGCTGAGTACTTTTTACTGGAGAAATTTACATATAATAAAAACTTTGATAGATGGTGCTGTCAGCTTGGGTAATGCATGATTGCTTTATGTGAGGATGTCTATTTAAAATATTCAAGTAAAATTTTGGATATATGTTGCTGAAAGCTGAAAAACCTGCTATGTTCTCTGTTTCTTGAAGCACCTACTTTTTCCTTTCCCATCTTGAGTTTTGTGTACAACATAATTAAAACCATTGCAGAGAATTACTTTTCACTTTTGCTAAAGCTTGTGACCCCCATTGGGCAGGTGAAATCAAAACAGATTATGTTACATACCCTGAATAAACTGCCGATGTGTTATGGCCTCAAAAGATTGCGTTTTGCTGGAAAAATAAGAGAGAAAATGTTAGGTATATGTACTAATTCCAGCACTGGCCTAATTGTGTTATTTTTCTTTAAAGTACGTGTGAAGAAATGATTTTCATGCATCAGAAATGCGAGATAACCAAAAGAAACATTTGAAATTGTCTTGCAGGATACTAAGGATTCTCTGTCCTGCAAGACATGTGGTAGGTGGCATACCTTTAATTTTTTTATTATGATATGTCTTGTTATATTTTGTGTTTAGTACTTTCAGATGATCAACATTGAGGGTTAATAACGTAATTTCATAGCAAAGCCATGCAAAACAAAGTCATCTCTGTCCTTCTATGTGCTACGCCATTTGGTATTAATTTTTAATTTATTATTTTGTTAAATATTTATGTTTTTTTTAATAGCGCTAGTTAGCTTAAGAGTTATTCCTCTTAAATTTTCTTGAAGATAAATAACTTCATGTATGTGTTGCTATTCTTTACCACTAGTTTATTTATTATCTTTTTTAATACAAAGTGACTTTTGTTGATTAGGTCTATTGGCTTTCCATTGATTATCTTGTTGTTGCCAGATCAACTGCAGTGAGTCATCTTTTTTCTTTTAAACCATTAACCAATTTATGAAAGTAGAAGCTCTAGAGTTATTTACAGTATATAACTCTTTTCGTTCTTCCAATGTTTGTTGTGCATATTTGACCGCCTCCATGTATGTGGAGTATTGGTGTGAGGAGAAATTTAGCAGTCTAAGCCTCGGAGATCCTGATTTTTCTTATCATGGTACCATAATTTATAAAGAAAGTATTTTACTGATTAGGCATTATTGAACTAGATAATATTGTACTCAGGCTTCTCCATGGTGTCCATCTTCTTAACCAAATAATTGATACATTGTGGTTTATGATGGTTTATGATTAATGACTAATGCGCCAAAATT